TTTTTTGCGTTGAACACTAGTAGTGCAATATTTTAAATCTTCAAGGTGATCGAAACGAAGAAATCTTTCAAAAGCATTGTGTTAATGTTACAAAGACATTTTCAGGCTGCTTATGACAGAAGATCAACAAAAAGTATTTATTAAATACGTTGTACTGTTTGACAGTTGGACAAAAGAGATTCCCCTGACATTTCTACTGGGTTTTTACGTAGCTATGATCATTCGAAGGTCGGTTATCATCTCCTTCAACTGATGTAGGTGACATGCTTATACTTAGGTGGTGGGCTTGTTGTCAGCTCATCAGCTGGCCGGATCATCTTCTTTACAGTGTTTCCGCGCTCATTCGAGGAGCTGATGTGAGTGTCATTGTTGATGCTGTCACATTTTGTTACGAGGCAGTATTTTAGTCGGAGACACGGATCATCCGCAAAACTATTGCGCGATACGCAATTTTATCGTCTGTGCTCGCCTGGCGAAGCATTTCATTACGAGTTCACACCAGGTTTGCATATAAAATCTATTTTTAAATGGGGGAACTTTAGCAATGTTTTTCAAAACACTTATGTGACACTTCCCCATCAGCGTCTCTAGCAATCACTCCTTCTAAAGACTACATCATCTTCGTCGTTATGTGACAGGTATCCAACCGATGAACACCTTCTGGATTCTGGGTTGATGACTAAAGAGGAGCTAGCAGTATTCAAGGCAGTAAACGTGCATGTTGATCCGCATCAGGTAGGACATCTTCCTCCCTTAGCCAAAGCTCACGCTTTGTAAATCATATATGCGCTTGAGTTCAAGAGTGATTATGAGCATACACTGATTTTGTTCACTTAAACTTCCAAAACTTCAACTTATTTGTGTATGCAAAGACGCGTCAGTGGAATTCAATCCAAGAAAGTAGCCTACCTTGTATCGTCTCTTACATGTATAACATCAATCATAACTTCTACAAAAAAGACGTGATCTCATATGAATGCGTCGCGAGCGTCGCTCGTCGTACTTCTTTCAAAATAGATATTTTCAAAAAAGAAAAGCTTTGTTAGTCTCAACTCGCTCAAACAAACCCTAAGTATGCCGTTCCACAAAAACATCCAAGGTGTACGGTGGATACGGTAGGAAGTCAACATCGTGAATCTGACTAAAACTTTGCGTAGAGGCTTATATAACCTTAGATAGTTCGCGTGACTTTTCACCGTACCGCACGTCTTATTAGATATTACTGTAGCTTGGCATTCTTTAAGATTCGTTTGGATGAGCTGAGTTTTTCTCAGAAAATATCTATTTTGAAAGAAGTTACGACGATGTGATGCTTGCGACGGTTTATGTGAAATAGTTCCTTTGCAGAAGTTATGAGGTTGTACTTCAATCTGTGTTCACTTCAGTTTTTTCGGAACCTTTTTCCATCAAACCATTGCTCAGAAGTGGTTCGTTCCAATCAACTGGATACAAACGATGATGGTTCGATGTTTTGAAAAGGGCACTCTTGGACATACAAACGAGTTACGTGTACTGCTGGATGCCCTCGAAAAGTATCGCAATGGCTTCTTTCAGTTATTCATTTATGACTGGATCGCAATTCCTCTTGTGTACACTCAGGTAGGGTAGATCCTACACATTATCCAATGGATGATTCACCTTAACAAAATAAACTTCTGCAATGCTGTTGCGCGGCTTCTAGAACAATTTGAATGTGAGTCCGGTTGCTTAATCTGGGGGCACATTTTGCTCAACTCTCGGCTTTTTTATAAACGTGATGACTTAACAATGCATGCTAGTATCTCCAAACCCCTTTTTTCTCTAAGTGCTAAAAACTGGATACAAAAATGTCTGTGGGAGAATTATTTAATCCTGAAGAAATCAGCTACATAATTAAATTTGGCTCCTTTATTTCAAGAACTGGCCACATTTAATAGGCTGATACTTACGCAAACTGTTGAGGCAGATTTCACTCTTCCAGCAGAACCTGACTCTTTTTTAAAATTCTCTGTTTTGGATTTCTTTTCTTTGGCAATCATGAAGTGATCTACATACGCCTTTTCAAGGCTATTTCGAGCGAATTCAGCGGGCGCTAGCGCTTTTCCAAGATTCCTTGACTTTTTGGCTTTTTTACTTTTGGGACCTATACGGTTGATTTGTCAGTGAGAGTAATATTTCTGGGCACTCTTCAAAAAATCGACTGTGTGCATCTGTGCGTACTTTT